GGATGCTAACCCTTCTCATCCCCTGCCTAACCTAGAACCCTGCTCTACTCAGACTTTTTGGCCCATCACTCCCCTTCCTAATAATTATTGGTCTGGGACCTTCTTCTCTGCCATTGCTCCCCCAAGTCCTTCAAACCTTAGCATTTGCCCTGTTGCTTTTTAATTTGAATTTCCATTTTGAACTGCCAACGTGCCTGAAGGATCACCTGGCTTTTCTATCTATCCTAAAACTGTACCCTCCTATGTGGGTTGTCTTTCCTAATTAGAATGTGAGCTTTTTGAGAGCAGAGACCATTTTGTTTCTTTATGTGTACCCTCAGGATTTAATGTGGTCCTTCGGACATAGTAAGTGCTCAATAAACATTTTTCTATTCCACTTTTAAGCATCCACTTTGTGCTATGCACTATACTGGAGATACTTTCAAAAACTCAAATATGATGCCATCATTTGGCTGTTCTCTTCAACAGTGTAGATCACAGTATCTATGTCTGCCCATTCTCTGTAACTTGTGTTGACATCCTCCTATTAGTTAGCTTCAGAGGAGTCACACATACTTCCATCCAATCAAGGAAGGCCTTCCTCAATTTCCCCTAACATTGAGAGGATACCAGTGGAGCACTGCGCCTGCCCATCCGTCATTCCTTGCTACATGACCAGTTCTGGACATGCCTTATAACTACTTGGGTGCCCAATTTAGTGTTCTACCCACGCCTAACTTTCTCAGGATTTATTCCCACTATGCTTCTTCCCTCTGAATCTTACCCATGTTTCACCCCTCAGGGGTAGGGTCCTCTGCCAGTTAAGCTGACAACTAACCAACATAGCAAATTAATTCATGTTAAAGGGAGAAATAAGGAAAATATTCCCTTTCTAGGTTGCACATCTTGTTGGGGTTGTTGTTCAGTTGTTTTCAGCTGTGTCTGACTCTTGGTAAAGACATTGGAATGGTTTGCCATTTCCTTCTCCAGCTCATTTTACAGATGAGGAAACTGTCACAGAGCTTGGAAGTTTCTGAGGCCAGATTTAAACTCAAGAAGATGAATGTTCCTCACTCCAGGTTACACATATATTTATTTTTAAAACTAAACATTTTTCAATGAACAAAAATCTATTTTCTCACTCTTCCATGCCTTCCCCTCAGTTTAAAACAAAAAAAGAAAAGCCAAACAATTATAACAAAATACATAGTCAATTAAAATAAATTCCCACATTGTCCATATTCAAAAAATGGATGCTCATTTAAGTCCGTCTTCTCCATCCACTATCCATGGTCAGAGTTTCTTTTGCTAATGACTAATCCCTCCCTCACATTATCTTCTCTCTTATTCTAACTTGCCTTTTTCCTTTCTGTTTCCCTATTGAATGAAATATATTTCTGTACCCAAATGCTCCTTCACCACCAAATCTATCCATCAAATTGTGGCCCCTACATGTCTCTCTCTGCACCTGGCTGGATGCATTACCTTCACTGTCAGAGGCCATGGCTAATGTAGGGGAGAGACAACGATTTCTCCCTCTGCTGGTTTTTTTTTCCTGGAAGAAATAAAGGGGTTCACACTCCACAAAGATGCTTCCTGCCTCAATGCCCTCAGGGCTGGTAGACTTAGCTTTTTAAAAGCCATCAGGTATATTATGCTGGCTTGAGGCCAGCTTCCCTTCTGATTCAATAAGGAAAGTTTTTTGGTGTGACTTTTTAAAGAATATCAAGACTAGGCTTGTCTTAGTATGTAATTTACATATTAATACCTTATTATCTACCACTTTCTGTGAGCAGAGCTGAGATGGAAGGGGGAAAAATCAACCACCCTTCCCCCCAACTACATATCATTAAGAGGGTGGTTGGAGAACATCTGAAAAAGAATCAATGATCACAAAGAGCAAGTCATGTCAAATTAAAATTTCACTCTTTTTGACAGGGTTACTAAACTGATAGGTCAGAAGAATTCTATAGACATACTTTACCTAGATTTTAGCTAAGCATTTGACAAAATCTGTCATGATAATTCTTGTAGACAAGATAGAATGTGGAATAGGTCACAGGATGATCCATCCTGTTTTTTTTTTCAAATTGTTCCTACGAATCATCTCTACTGTAATTTTCAATCTGTCTATCCACAGATTCTCTTGTCTACAAATATGCCCATTTCCCCTATCCTTAAAAAATCCCTCACTAGACCCTACCATCCATTCAAGCTACTGTCCTTTCCTTTTCCCACAAATAGCTACTCTTAGAAAAAGCTATTTACATTCATTACCTTCAATTCATCTCAGCCAGTTCTCAAAATTCTCTTTGTAATCTGGCTTCGTCATTACTCATCTAAAACTGCTCTGCAAAGTTACTGATAATTTCTTAATTGCAAAATTTAAATTACCTTTTCACAGTCATCATACTTTGTGACTCCTCTAGCATTTGACATCAGAGATTACCCTTTTCCTGGAGAGTCTTTCTTCTGTTTTTCCGAACATGGATCTCTTTTATTCTCTTAATGAATGCTCCTTCTCAGTCTCCTTTGTTGGTTTACTGTACATTTCATGCTCTGTATTATGGGTGTACCATAAAGCTCTGTCCTGAGCCCATTTATCTCTATACTCAGTGACCTCACCAGCTAAAACATAACTTTTCCTAAACCATTCCCTCTTCTGAATTTTGCTATTTCTGTTGAGTGCACCACCATCAATCATCAATATTTATAACCGGTGCTTTATCTTAAAACCCTCAGTCTCCCCCACCCCATAATTTCCATTCAAATGCCACATCTTGCTGCTTCTAGTTCACCACCCTAGTCCAGGCTCCCTTATCACCTTTCATATCTACTATACCTCAATAGTTTCCCTAACCTCCCTGCCTCTAATCTTCCTTCTTAATCCATCCTTTCTACACAGCAGCAAAGGGGGTTTTCTTAAATTGCAAATTCCCCTGATCAGTAAACACTACTGGCTTCCTATTTTTTCTCAAATTAGAAATTTGTTTAGCATTCGAAATTCAAAAGTGACCCCAACTAACCTTTCCAACTTTATTCTACATTATTCTCCTTGCACTCCACACTCCACTCAAAGTGACCTTCTTGCTGTTCCTTACACAAGACCTTTCTCCTGTCTCCTTGCCTTTGCACTGGCTGGCCCTCATGCCTAGAATTAACTCCCTCTTCACTTTCATCTCTTCCAAATTGAGCTCAAGTGCCGCCTTCTTCATGAAGCCTTTCCTAATCCCTCCAGCTGTTATGGTCCTTCTACACCACAAATTACCTTAAATTTTGCATATATTTTGTATTTATGTCTACCCCAGTAGACTGTAAGCTCTGTTAATTCAGGGACTGTTTAATTTTTGTACCTGCAGAGCCTATATGGCACCTGACACACAGTAGGCACATAATACTTATTATTGTAAAATGAAGAGAGCAACTATCTCCCAGGGTTGTTAAGATCTAATGAGATAATAATTGTAAAGTGCTTAGTAGAGTGCATGGCACATAGTGTTTTGTAAATGTTAGCTATTATTTTTTAACTTACATGGGAAAATTAGTTTAAAATTGGTACAACATGGTAATTATTTTGTACTTTGTAACAAGCTTTTTACTTTATTCCTCCTTCCTAATAATAAAATGTACAACCTTTTATGAATTTATGATCTAATGTAATTTTCTATAGTTTAACATGAAAGTACAACAGAGATACATATGTTTAGAGGACACTGGACAAAGAAGGAAGTGGAAAAAAAAACCATGAACACAGTCAGCATTCCACAGTATGAATTTAAAATATCGCTACATTAGGTATTCTGGAGTTATTTAAGTTTTAAGATAAGCTGTAAAAAAGTATCCAATATATACAATGGTATACTTAAGAACAAATACATAAGCATAATTTATGCATAGGAAAATTTTTACTAAGAAAATATAAGAACAGAACACATCTCAATATCACAAAGGAGAAAAAAATGTACATATCAACATAAATTTCTTTTGACTGATCACTAGGCCTTCATATAAGTCAATGTTGCATACAAACATTTTCCCCCTTTAAACTTATATTCCCATAAGTAATCAACATAAAAAGGAATCATTCTCTATTCTTACCTTAAATATTGATGAAAACACTAGGCAATGATTTTTGCAATGTATGACTTCCTTTGAGTCAATAATCAATGCATGTAATGTGATTAAATAGTTTGTGAAACAACATAATCGGCTTAAAAATTGTTTCAGTTCTTCACTTAATTCTACCTAGATCATTTTGAGAAAGGTGGAATAAAATATTTAGAATGAAATTTGTCAAATTTTTAATTTGAAAATATCTCCAGAAAAACTTTAATTCTATAATTCTCTCATACTAGTTTTTGTCTTTCCACCCTGTAACAATAGTTATGTACTTGTAAAGTTGTACTTATACACATACATGCAGTAGGTATTATCTAATACTTTTTACAAAAAGTGTATGTTGGCATAAAATGGGAACTAAAAATCCTACTGAGTTGAGGGCAGCTAGGTGGTAGAGCAGATAGAATGCTGAGCCTGGAATCAGGAAGATCTGAGTTCAATGCTGGCCTCAGACACTTACTTACTAGCTAGGTGACCCTGGGCAGGTCACTTAACCCTGTTTGCCTCAGTTTCCACATCTGTAAAATGACCTGGAGAAGAAAATGGCAAAATACTCCAGTGCTTTGCCAAGAAAACCCCAAAATGGGTCATGAAGAATCAGACACGACTAAAGAGCAAGAGTAGAGAAGTAGACATAAAAGGAGGAGATATGACTTTAAGAGAATACTAGATGAGTGTTTCATTTAAGGTGACAATTTTCTTAAGTAAAAGACATCTGTATTCAAGATGCAAATGAAAGGGCTCAGTGGAAGTTTATTCTTGCCCCATTACCCTTTCACGTGTCAGGTATTACTAACTTGTGATAACTGGAATATATTATGATCAATGATTTAAGTATTTCTTAAATTGGAAAAGCATAAAGAAAAATCATTTACCTAAGAACACCAAAGGAAATCTGAAAGTCAAGGAAATTCTTAGTTTATTGGCAACATTTCCTCCTCAAACATAAAGCTTAAAAAATGTGCTAAACAGTAGAGAATTGTAAGAATAACAAAAAAAGCGTCCAATTTTTTTTAAAATATGGAGTAGAGAAGTAGAGTAGAGGAATATAAAAACACAGCTTGCTAGCAAGAAGTTGTTACAGAAAAGTACAAAGCTTTTAAAAGACATTTTATTTAATGTACAATTTCTGCAAATGAACTTTTAACATATTTTCATTTTTATCCCACTCACCCCTTTTAAGAAAGCAAAAAGATTTAGAATTCCCAAATCCATTTTGCATGGAATTTTCAGTGAAAGCAAATCAATATTTCAAAAAGACTACTGGCCTTTCTTGAGTCTACTTGGACTTAACTGATTTCAAAATAGCGTGGGACTATTACATGCTCACTGTTACAGGATACAATGTTGCACTTAACCTAATTTCTTTATTGGCAATTTGGCAAAATTTGCTGGCTAAATTAAAACACTGAAAAATCTCAGCCAGATTAAAGGACTGGAAATTTTTTAATAGATGAATTATCTTAATCTATACATTTAAATGTTAAGACTTATCTATTTAGTTTATCTGCAGAGTGCTCATTTCAATACTGACATAAAATAATTTTGATGCACATCAAAAGATCAGAGAACCAAGCACTATTTCATCACTGGAGATAGATGTCTTATTGTAACTTTCTAACTTATTAATGTGTCAGTGTCTGAACATGTATAATTTCAGATACAAAATATAAGCGCTGCAATTGCAGTCCTTTGCATACACCTCTTTAAAAGTGAAATTTCAGGAATTTAACCACAAAATAAACAAGAAAGAAGTTAAGTAGGTGACTAGGATTTTAGAAAAGTTAGATACAGTAGACCTTTGGAGAAAACTCAATGTGGGTAGAAAGGAAAAGTGAAATTTCAGGATTGGGAACTTTAAAGCTCCTATAACCGGGCTCCTATAAAACGGACCCCATTATTGTTAGTGAATTCAACAGTATATGGTACAACGAAATCACCCCGGGGCAAATAAAAGCTCAGAGGGCTAAAAGGAACAGAATATGGATAATATCTGAATAGAGTGTTAGAAAAGAATTCCTCACATCTGCTGTGGAGTGGCAACTGTAAATTACTTTTAGTTTAAAACTGCTGTTACTGACTTCAACCTATAGATAACACATAACAACCATTACACATTAATCCTGAAACAGCCAATCTGAGTTCACAGGACTTATTTCTTAAGGTCTTCAAATTTGGTGTTATAGAGTAATGCAAATTGTCAGAAGACAATAATAATATAATGAAAAATCGGTGCTTTCTCAGCTTACTCCTCTCTGCTAAGTGAAAAATGGTTGTCATATTTAATGAGTCTTTTCCTAAACAAATACAAATGAAATACCTTGTAGTTAGATGTATTTTCAGGAAACCTTCTGAACCAATATCTTCAATTCAAACGAGTTACATTTATTCTCAGACTAACACCTTAAATTTAAGTGAACTTACAGATTGTAAACACTAAGCATAGCAAAAATAGATGAAAAGTCATTTTATGTAAAAACATCATTTGAATTGGTAGTTTAAAAATATCTAAATTACAGAAAACCATTCACAGTATAGAACTTAAAACTCATACCACACTTTATACTTTAAGCATTTTAACCAAAGTCTCAAACTCATATACTTTTCCCATTATACTGTAAATTAATCTTCTCTTTACCTGGGGACAGGAGATCATAAAAGCAATCCTTCCCTTATTCGTATGTAAGTGCTCCATTTGGCCTACACTATACCCGGCATCAGATTATAACATTCTTTCACTCTGTACTATGGAACCATTTCTGACAAATCAACAATGGTTCTAGTTTCTCCTTTCTTCTATAAAGTGCAACTATTTCTCAGTTGCTTTTCAAATTAATTACATTTTTCCCAGACATAACCTCCTAGTTTATTTCCAGTTTGTTTCCAATCTGTTTTTCTGTGTTAATATTTTCAGCTGGTGTGCAACTACTGTTGAGTCAATTTAGAAAGTGCCAATTCCTGAGTAGCACATACAACACTAATAAGAATCAGAACATGAATTTGTAATCATAATCACATGACATTAGCAAACTTCTACTGTTAAGAAAAAATAAAATTCTCTTAAATTTTCTCTCACCATAAGAGACACTGATGTCTAGCAGCTTTAAAGATACCATGTTACTTAAGATTTTAATTTTTTTAACTTACACTACCAAGTTTTATTTTTCCTAACATTTTCTTGAAAACATATTACCAAATGCGTAAGCCATTTTCCCCCAAAACAAGAAAACACAAAGCTTACTGCTTTAATTGAGATATGTATGAAGGCATTCATTAAATATATTCATTTTATTTCTATACAGTGAAGATACAGTATTGGACATATTTACCAAGAATATAAAATTAGCTTTCTAATTCATAGCTCCTGGCTTCAAAAAACAATAGCTGCAAGATATCTGTTTAATACTACATTAGAACTTCAAATTATTACAATTTCATGGATAGGATCATTTTAAAGGCTTATTTATTTTAAATGAAGATCAATGAGGAAAAAAAAGTTAAAATGCTTTATCTCCAAACACAAAAAAATGCACAAGTGTGGACCTAATTTACTTACTTCACAGGAAATGGATTTATAAAACACAGATTTCTAAGTGTTGAATAATTAATGCATTAATGCATTGTTTTAAAAAAATCTCCTATACAGCCCTATTATATAAGGGGGATCAAATGAAAGTTTTCTGAGATTCAAAAAACATTTAATCATACTTGGAATTAGCATCAATCCACCTTTCAACAACTCTTTCTACTGAAGAAATGAAACAAAGAATATGAATAAAGAGATTCCCCTCCTAAAAGCCACTACAACATTTTTCTATAATGTTAAAGCACATGAATGTTTTGGAGAAAATCAAATAACATATATTTGAAATGAGATTATAAAGTTCCATATCGACCAAAATGTATACTTCCAATTATTGTTTTTAAAACCTGGAACTCTTGTTTGGAATTACCTCCAAAAAGCAGTTTAAAAGGAAGAAAATTAATCTCATTATTTTATACTCACACTTAAATTCCCACCTGCAAGAGATACTACCCATCTCCATAACCCACCTTCTTTATCAGACTTACCTCTCAACAATTTTTGGCTATTTCTAAAACTTAAATCCACCTCAAAGGATGAAGATTTTAGTAAAAAAAAAAACAATCAATCAAACAAACAAAAAACCCCCAAAAAACAAAACATCCAGTACTTTGAAAATAATTTGGAGTTCTAAAAATGTTGTGAGGAATGGCAGAGCAGTTGGAGGAAGCTCATAGATTCCCAAAGTGATGACTGTGAAGGTGACAAAACATTTATCTGAATAATTTATGAATATATGGTACATTATATTAAGTCCTCTACTATATTACATCACCTTCTTAAGGAATCACTTGAAATCCAAGAACATGGAAGTCCTGTAAACTATACTTGTTTCTGAATATAACTTCAAGATTGAGCAATTAATTAGGGTGCTGAGAATTACAAACCAAAATTACCTACGTAAAATTAAAAAAAGAAAAAGGTCTGATTACATTTTTGGTGTATTTTTCAATAGACTAGCCAACCATTTCTTTAGTTTTTCTAAGCTACTACTAGCTCCCATTCCACTATACCAATATAATGTTTTAGGCCATATAGAGAAAATAATTATTACAGTAAACTTTTCCTATCTCACAACTTAGTCTGTCAGAGATTTAAAAAGTCTGTGGTTAAAAGCAGCTGAATTAAAGAGATAACATTTTGGATACCAGGAAAAGCTTTCTTCTATACTTTAGATAAATGTAGATTTTTCTAATTAAAAGGATTTCTTACTTCCAGTTAGAATTCAAAATCTGTTATTCACATCCACAGGAGTGAATTTTAAATAATCCTGAAGGAACTGGCTGGGAGAAGATTATTACTTATAATGGCAGAAGTAACTTTACTTTGGCAGTCAGCAGTGAATGGGAATACAAAAAAACACATATTTAAAAATATATATATATCTTAAACATATATGGTGTGGTATGTGCTCCAAGTTTCTATCAGACATTATAGTCATTTGAAATTTTTTTTTAAATCCATTAACAATGTAGGTGATGTATTCTATCACAAATAAGATTTGTAGATACATGGGGAAATAAGTCAAGCAAAATGGAGTAAGCCAGCAAAATATGGGGAAAAAAACTGCAATTCTCAAATGTTTTCTCTACTTGGTCTGGAAAAAACGAGGACCCTGGAAGATCCCTGCAGCTTAGCAAGTGTTCTTTTAGAAGGAAAGCTTCTATTCAGATATTTTGGGAGGTTGTGATGCAAATTCAGGCCATTCATATACATCTGGCAGCAAGCAATCATAGTCACTTCGCCAGATTCTTGATCTAATATACTCGGTCTTGTTTTCTGGTTCTGGGTAACGGAAAGCCATCTTCTTGGCATATAGATATTCTGTGATCTAAAAGATAAATAATATTACTATGCAGTTTTCATGTATTAACAAAAAGTAAAGGCAGTACACAATAAGTTATTTAAATTAATTGGTTAAGTTTTAGTTCTTCTTGGTTCAAAGTAGAATTTACTTTTATTTTTCAATTGTTATTCGTTTCCTTCCAGAGACGGAAAAAAATTAAAATTATTTCTCTTATACTTCCGTATGCAAAATGTGAGTAATAATGTTTATTTTATGACAAATACTTTTCTTATCCAGAGCTTAGTTTTCTAGAAACTTAAAACATCTTGAATAGCAAAACAAAAAGTAAATGCCCAAGAAAAACAAAAACAAATAAGCAAAGAAGAAAGAAGCACTCTGTCTGGCATCAAAGGACCTACTCCTGAGCAACAGTAAAGTAGTTGGGAAAAGCAGACGATCCAATGCAATAAAACTGGCTGGTCTGACGTACAGGTGCCAATCAGTTAGCAAGTATTTATTAAGTATGTCTGACATGAAGGAAACTGTGCTAGATGCCAATGGTATAAAGATGAAAGATGAAAAGGTCTCTGTCCTCAAGGAGTTTGTGTTCTATGTGGGAAAATAGCATGTTTATTGGTTAAGTAAATACAAAATACACAAAAAGTAAATACACTGGAAGATAAAAGAGCTAGGGCTACAACTAAGGATCACCTACTTAGTGAAATTAAGCATAATACTTCAAAGTAAAAAAGGTTATTCAATGAAATAGGATTTTAAGCTTTTATTAAGAGAAGACCAGAGTTGAACAAACAATTTGATCTCCAATATCAAGAACCAAGAGAAGTCTAAAAAGTTAAAAAGGGGGAAGAAAACATAAGGGATTCAATGGACCCGAAATGTTTACAACCCAACATGAGATGATACTTGTAATTCTTAAAAATTGTACCATTAATAGTACAGCTAGAAGGAATATACATAGAGGGTATGGGTATAAGGTGAATTTGAGGGAATGATATAAAAAATAATTAAAGGATGAGAAAGAGGAGCACACTGGGTGCAGAAGGAAGGAAGAGGTAGAATGGAGTAAATTCTTTCACATGAAGAGGCACAAAAAAACCTATTACGGTGGAGGGAATGATGAGAGGGTGGGTAGTAGGCATTCCTTGAACCTTACTCTCAAAGACGGAATAACATACATAATTAGTTGAATATAGAAATTTATCTTACCAGGTAGATAGGGGAGGGGAAAAGATTAAGTAAAGGAGGTGGGAACTGACAGAAGACAGGGCAGACCAGGGGTGGCAGTAAACAGAAGCAAAATGCTGTTGAGGAATGAAAAAGTGAAAGGAGAGAGAGCGCAAACAGGAGGAAGAATAGGATAGAGGGAAATACACAGTTACTAATCATAACTGTGAATGTGAATGTGATGAACTCTCCCATGTAACGGAAGTGGATAGCAGGGTGGATTAAAAACCAGAATCCTACAATATGTTGTTTACAAGAAACACACTTGAAGCAGAGAGACACACACAGAGCAAAGGTAAAGAGCAGAATCTATTATGCTTCAGCTGAAGTAAAAAAAGCATGGGTAGCAATCCTGATTTTAGACAAAACAAAAGCAAAACTAGACTTAATCAAAAGAGACAAGAAAGGAAACTTCACCTTGCTAAAAGGTCCTATAAACAATGAAGTAATATCACTACTAAACATATACGCACCAAGGGGAATAGCATCCAAATTCTTAAAGGAGAAGTTAAGTGAGTTAAAGGAAGAAATAGACATAAAATTATATTAGGGGAGGACCTTGACAGTCTCCTCTCAGAACCTGAGAAATCCAACCAAAAAATAAAGAAGAAAGAAACTAAGCCTCGAGGTGAAGAGAATATTAGAAAAGTTAGATATGACAGACCTCTGCAGAAAATTTAATGGGAATAGAAAGGAATATACCTTTTTCTCAGTAGCACATGGAACCTACACAAAAATTGACCATGTGCTAGGGTATAAAAAAGCTTAAAATCAAACGTAGAAAGGAAGGAATACTAAATATATTCTTTTCAGACCATAATGCGGTAAAAATTACAGTCTACAAAGGGCAGTGGAAAGATGGGTTAAAATTAATAATCTAATCTTAAAGAATAAGTGGGTCAAAGAACAAATCATAAAAACAATAATTTCATTAAAAAGAATGACAAAAATGAGAAAACATCCCAAAATTTACGGGATTCAGCCAAAGCAGTATTTAGGGGAAAATTTATTTCTCTAAATTCTTATATCAGCAAAATAGAGAAAGAGCAGATCAATGAAATAGGTATGCAACTAAAAAACAAAAAAGAAAAAGAAAAAGAACAAATTAAAAATCCCCAATTAAACACCAAATTGGGATCCTGAAAATCAAAGGTAAGATTAATAAAACTGAAAATTAAAAAAAGAAACTATTGAGCTAATAAATAAAACTAGGAGCTGGTTTTATGAAAAAACAAAAAACCAAAAACAAACAACAAAAAACCCCCAAATACACAGTAAGATAGATAAGCCATTGGTTAATTTGATTAAAAAAAAAAAAAAGAAAACCAAATATCCAATATCAAAAATAAAAAGGGTGAAATCACCACCAACAAAAAAATCAAAGCAATCATTAAGAAATATTTTGCCCAATTACATGCCAATAAATCAGACAATCTGAGCAAAATTGATGAATTTATGAAATTATAAATTAATTAGATTAACAGATCAGGAAATAGAATGCTTGATAACCACATCTTAGAAAAAGGGATTGAACAGGCCATTAATGAACTCTAAATCTCCAGAGCCAGATGGATTCACAAGTGAATTCCACCAAACATTTAAAAAAATATTCTAATATTATATAAACTATTTGGAAAAATAGGCAGAGTCCTTCCAAACTCCTTTTACGACACAAATATGGTACTGATACCTAAACCAGGAAGAGCTAAAAGAGAGAAAGAAAATGATAGACCAATTTCCCTAATGAATATTGATGCAAAATTTTTGAACAAAATATTAGCAAGATGATTATTATTATGACTGGGTGAGATTTATACCAGAAATGCAGGGTTAGTTCAATATTAGGAAAACGATCAACATAACTGACCATAACAGTAACAAAACCAACAGAAATCACATGATTATCTCAACAGATGCTGAAAAGGATTTTGACAAAATACAGCACCCATTCTTATTAAAAACATTACAGAACACAGGAATAAAGGAAATGTTCCTTAAAATAATAAGCAGTATCTATCTAAAACCATCAGCAAGCATAATTTGTAATGGGGATAAGCTAGAAGCTTTCCCAATAAGATCAGGGGCAAAGCAAGGATGCCCATTATCACCACAATTATTCAATATAGTATTAGAAATGTTAGCTACAGCAATAAGAGAAGAAAAAGGAATTAGAAGAGGCTGAGGAAACAAAACTATCACTCTCTGCAGATGATATGAGGGTATACTTAGAGAACCCTGGAGTATCAACTAAAAAACTACCTGAAATAATTAACAACTTTAGCAAAATTGCAGGACATAAGATAAACCCACATAAATCATCAGCATTTCTTTATATGACCAACAAAGCCCAGCAGTAAGAGAAAGAGAAATTTCATCAAAAAAATATGAAAACAGTATAAAACACTTGGGAGTCTACCTTGCCAAGACAAACCCAGGAACTACATGAATGCAATTATAAAACACTTTTCACACAAAGTCATATCTAAACAATTGGAAAAATATCAACTGTTCATGTGTAGGTCATGCCAACATAATAAAAATGACAATTCTACCTAAGTTAATTTACTTGTTCAGTGCCATGCCAATAAAACTACCAAAATTATCTTATAGAACTAGAAGAAATAACAACAAAATTCATCTGGAAGAACAAAAGCTCAAAAATATCAAGGGAATCAATGAAAAACCTGTGAAGGAGGGTGGCTTAGCTTTACCAGATCTCAAATTGTACTGTAAAACAGTAATCATCAAAACAATCTGGTACTGGCTAAGAAATAGAGTGGTAGATCAGGGGAACAGATTAAGTATACAAGGTACAGTAGTAAATGACCATAGTAACCTAGTGCTTGATAAACCCAAAGACTCCAGACTTTGGCTAAGAACTCACTCTTTGACAAAAATGGCAGGGAAAACTGGAAAACAATAGGGCGCTAACTAGGTATAGACCAATATCTCACACCATATACCAAGATAAGGTCAAAATGAGTACATGATTTAGACATAAAGGGTGAACACCAGAAGCAAATCAGAAAAGCAAGGTGTAGTTTACCTGTCAGATCTATGGAGAGGGGAAGAATTCATGACCAAACAAGAGATATAGAACATTATGAAATATAAAATAGATAATTTTAATTCCATTAAATTAAAAAGCTTTTGCACAAACAAAATCAATGCAATCAAGATTAGAAGGAAAGCAGAAAGCTGGGAAACAATCTTTACAGCAACTGTTTCTGATAAAGGTCTCATTTCTCAAACATATAGAGAACCAAGTCAAACTTATAAGAATATAAGCTATTCCCTAATTGATAAAGGGTATTAACAAGCAGTTTTCATGTGAAGAAATCAAAGCTATCTATAGGTACATGAAGAAGTGTTCTAAGTCACTGCTGATTAGAGAAATGCAAATTAAAACTCTGAGGTACCACCTCACACCTATCAGATTGGCTAATATATCAGAAAAGGAAAATGATAAATGTTGGCGATGATGTGGGAAAACTGGGACACTAATGCACTGCTGGTGGAGTTGTGAACTGATCCACCCATTCTGGAAAGCAATTTGGAGCCATGCCCAAAGAGGAACCAAACTGTGCATACCCTTTGATCCAGCAATACCGCTACTACAACTGTATCCTAAAGAGATCATAAAAAATGGAAGAGGACCTACATGTACAAAAATGTTCATAGCAGCCCTTTTCATAGTGGCTAAATACTGGAAACCGATGGGATGTTCATCAACTGGGGAAGGAGTGAACAAGATGTGGCATATGAATGTAACAGAACACTACTACTGTTCAATAAAAAAC